TAAACTGTCAGTTGTATGCAAACGCCTCCTTAGATGAATGACAAAGGCTGAGGGTTTTATGTATGCTCTTCCAACAATCAAGAAACCAAAACATCAACCTGAAGACTCGAGTTATGTTCTTCATCGCCAGATCGAGATTTTCATACGAATGTCCTGCATGGCGCCAAACTCGATAAGAAATATCTAAACTGTTAGCTGTATCACAAGGGCATTCTAAGATCAATGGTTAAAATGGCTTGGAAGCAAATGAAGCCTGTATTTCTAAGCGAGGACCAGCCGTCTTCAAACCTTATGGACTGGCGTTACAGAATCACAGAAAAAGAACTGTACATGTGTGGGGGTCAATTGCCCTCACTAATCTATATTAAACACAATGCCACACAATAAATACAAGAAGAAACAAGAAAATTCAGACAAGAGTAATTATACAAATAAATAGATTTTTATGTACAAAACAATAGTCATGAATGTTGTTTAAAATGGTGAAATAAACTTGTCTTTTTAGATTTTCTGTGAGGTAATGTTCTAGTTTGACAGATTGCAAGTTATAGGCCAATCTGTGTGAATTTGGAAAATCAGTTTGATGTAATATTGTTTGTATTCAAAATAAAAAGTTCAAAGTTTGTAGAAAAAGCGTATGTGGATATGACTTACGTTGTGTTTAACGCCTGAGTGTTTGCCCCTTCGTTTTTTTTCCCGACGTGAGTTTAGTTTGCAACGAATGAAGGAAATAAACTGTGGTTACTTTAAAAAGGATTTTTAACTTATATCTAAACATCAGTTTAAAGTTATTTTATGATGAGTGTCGTCAGGTAACGTGTAGCTTTGTCGGCTGATTTTACACACCTCTTTCTTAATTGTTTGTTGTTTATATAAGCAAGATAAGTCACGTGAGAGTCTCCAAAAATGTTTTAAAATTTTGGTGTAACTATACATTTGATCAGGTCAAATTAATGTCAGACGTGGGGACGTATTCGTCAACATGTCATGTGATATTTTTTAACCAATCAAATTACGTTAGTTGTGTAATTTAATTTGGAGCTAATGTTTTGTTGAAGTTTCGAGAACAATATAGGATCAGGATCCTATAAAAGTAACAGAGACTACATCACTTGAAGACTTCCAACAGCAGCAACAACTAAAATGGATAGCACATGTAACACGAAGAGAAAATAATGAAGATGTCGGCGTTACGCACTACTTCAAACAAAAGGTTAGGAAGGAAATCCCCATCAATAGCAATACGAATCATATTTTCCGGAAGCATTATTTTCAGAGAAAGATTTTATGATTTTCAACCAAAAGTAGTCCTGGGTGCTCCGTCAATGAAAGCCTAATATTTTCTTGTAAGGAAAAAGGTTAATATTACTATTACAATTCAGATATAAGAAATAATTCTTTTTAATTTTCTAACTTGATTTTTCAGTTAAATGAACCATTCGATGAAGTGAAGATTCGATTTAACGCTTCTAGTGAAGCCAGTTTTCAGGAATTTGACATTCGCTTTTATGAACTGGACCCGTACTATTTAATTTTCTAACTTAAGAAATTAAGATTCGATTTAAACGCTTTCGGTGAATATTTGTATAAATTTAGTTTCATCATGTTTAGCTTTTATAACAATTCTAATGATCGCTTTTAAAAACAATAAACAATGCCGAGGATGGAAGGCAGTTAAAATAATAGCGCTGTCAATGGAAAAGCTCTCGTTTTGACACTGTGTTTTTTTTTCAGCGCGATGATCCATGTTTGCCAGTTTTTTTCGTAATTTTTGATAAGGAAACGGAGATGTAAAATTTATCGATCACAAATTTCAGTAAAAGTGAAAAGGTTTTTTTTGGACGTTTGTCATGGCATGTCAAAAATTATTGAATGCATTAATCTTGTGATAATTGCCAAATATGAAGTACAAATGATTGAATATCTGTAAATTTGAAGTATTTTACAGAAATTTGAGATATTTACCGTTCTAAGGGAAATAACTCTGTAAAATAATATCAGAGTTATTGCCCATATATGTCAGTAGTCTCCCTTGTTCTTCCTCCTCCTCATCATCACCGTCATAGTTATTATTATCATTAGTAATGTTAGGAGTAGTATCATTAGTCGTGATAGTTTTAACTTTTTAACCAATGAAAAATTCAGAGTTGTGCTATTTGAAATTTCTGATAAATATTAATGAGTGAATAAGTTCATGGCGAGTTCTATGACAATATAAAATATTCGTAGTAATCCCGTTATTATCGCTTCGTTAAAAATATTTGCGCTTAAAAAACTTAAAAAAAAATTTGCAATAACAATGAAATGAATGCCGGTCGTTATTTTAAGAAGGGGGTACAAATGAAAAGATTTGAAAATGACAATTTTTTTCAATTTCATTAAAACAGACGTTAAACACTTCTATCTTTTTTTCTTTCTTTCATTTTCTCATTGAAAATAAGTAGCATCTGTGATACGTCCTTTTGTCTTCCCACGCGATCAAAACGGATTAGTCCATTATTTATGAGGTGTTAGCAGGAGACGTTAAACCATTCTTTCTTCCTTTCTTTGTTCCTTTGTTCCTTTCTTTCTTCCTTTCTTTCTTTCTTCCTTTCTTTGAAACCAAGTAGCGTCTTTGATCAAAACGGAATAGTTTATTACTTATTAGGTTTTATCAGGAGACGTTAAACCGTTCTTTCTTTCTTTCTTCCTTTCTTTCTTTCTTTCTTTCTTTCTTTCTTTCTTTCTTTCACTGAAACCAAGTAGCGTCTTTGATCAAAATGGAATAGTTTATTACTTATTAGGTTTTATCAGGAGACGTTAAACCGTTCTTTCTTTTTTTCTTTCTTTCTTTCTTTCTTTCTTTCTTTCACTGAAACCAAGTAGCGTCTTTGATCAAAACGGAATAGTTTATTACTTATTAGGTTTTATCAGGAGACGTTAAACCGTTCTTTCTTTCTTTCTTTCTTTCTTTTTCCTTTCTTTCACTGAAACCAAGTAGCGTCTTTGATCAAAACGGAATAGACCATTATTTATGAGGTGTTAGCCGGAGACGCTAAATACTCCTATCTTTCTTTCACTGAAACCAAGTAGCGTCTCTGATGTGTCTTGTCTTTTTACGCGATCAGAACGGAATAGACCATTATTTATGCGGTATTCGCACGGCGTAACGGTCGTGCGAACGAAGGCAGGAACAAGTAAAATTATTATATGATTATTATAATTATTATATTTTTCTCTTTACTGGAAACATTACCCAGCATTTTGTGGCTCAAGCTTTTCCACCGTTTTCTTCACAGTGGTGCGCAGTCATTTCTTCGTTTTAGGTATTTGATAATGTCATATGATGGCTTCAGCAAAATTGTCGTAATAAAAGCATATCGACAGATTTTTATATTTTGTCCGTCTGTTATATTATATTGTCATTATCATCGTCATATCACGTTAAATATTGCTGCCACATATGGTCCGGTGCCTTGTGAAAATGGCAATACTAACGTCGGCAAACCAATTGTGGTGAAAAAAAGAAAGAAAGAAAGACATTGTTTTACTCAACAAATACTTATATATTTACATTAAATGAACCTTAAAATGTTCAAGGTTTGTCCACCAAAAAGATATTTTTCAGCGCTAAACTTATTTCTCTTCAGGAAAATGGGCTCTATTTTGCCTCTTACTGGATGACGTTTGTGCTTATTCAATATATATGATATATAACAGGTCCCGTTGAGATTATTTGAATTTTCCGTTGTGTTTGTGTGAAAATGGCAAGATTAACGTCGGCAAATCAATAGTGACAAGAAAGAAAGAAAGAAAGAAAAAAAGAAAAAAGACATTGTTTTAATCAACAAATACTTATATATTTGCATGTAAAGGATTGTCTTCATCTTTGTTTTTATTATTATGACAACGTTTCGGCCATTGTACCCACCAGCCTTCATCAGTTGCTAAGTAGAATCAGGTAACCTATCTTCCGGTTCACACACGTCCTCGGTCTTTTGAACAGAAGTAGGGATTTATCCCTTATTCCCTGTTTAGGATTGGGTTTCTGGTTCCTTCTAAAATTTTCCCATTCTCTTTTATTCTAGCAGTCCCTTGCATCTTAGTGGCATTATCGCCTTGCTTGGGGTGAATTGATTAAAACAACCCTTCGAACCGAACCCTTTATTTAATCTACGGGGATAAATTATTCTTATTCTGTTGACCATATCTAGGGGAGATAACTTGTGTTCTTATTTCGTTAGTCCTGGGCATGACGATAAACTACATCCGTCAGCAAGGCCTCTGATAGATTGAAGGTTTTGAGGAGCCTGCAAACACCTTTCAATTGCTGTTGTTTCCAGGTTCATCCTGAGCTGGGTGGTAGTACCTGTTAGGGTCATAGCCATGGGCAAATAGTGGACCCACAAACAAAACACTATGAAAGTCTAAAAATACAGTTTTATAGTAAAAATATGAGCAATACATTTATATAAAAATGACCAACAATACATATTTAGATTAAAATTATTTACCTGGAGATCCTTGAAAGGATCCATAGAGGAATTAGTAATATTATTTATCATGATTTGGTGGTTCGTCTTCAACCAGTTGCCCACCATCATAAGGTTACCTATCTGTGCCTTATTTTATAAATCCTTTCATGGGAATTGTTTGGATTAGCTCTTCATTATGGTATCTAGACTGTATGAATTTAAGCGCAATACAAGACGGGCGTCGAGATCTCGTCATTAGACAGTTGAGCTGGTTAGATCGAGCCGTAAGTTCTATGCTAACAGTTTCTTTTCTCGTAGTTCTCGCTTGTGGAACTTCCTTCAGGTTTTATGCTTTCCAGCCAACTTTAATTTGCACAAATTTAAATGAAATGTCAATCTCTATATACTGTCCTCCTGATTTACTCTTTTCTCTTTCTCCTCATTACTAATGTTTCTGTTCCTAATTCAACCCCCCCCCCGTAACTCCTTGCATGCTAGTGGCTGTACTGCCTTTCTTTGGGGCGGGGGATACCAATTAAAAAAAAAAATCACCGGTTCCCGTACGATCACAGAAGTTAAGCAACGTCGAGCCTGGTCAGTACCTAGTTGGGTAACCGCTTGGGAATACTAGATGCTGTAAGCTTGAATGTGCGGGTGGTGTAATGGATAACGACTCGGAAATGAAGATCAGAGAGACGAGTTCTAATTCCAGTTCGGTTCAACACATAATGATGAAAGAGGGTTATTTAATACCGACAAGATTCTTTTTCAAAAATGTATTGCTAGTAATATTTTTTCTTCAAAAATTCATTGCTGGTAATATTTTTGTAAAAAATATTACCAACACTTTCATCGTGTTTTGACGCCAGTTTTGGGAATAACTATTTGGGAATAACTATTGGGAATAACTATTTGCCTATAGTTGGGACCATATCAGGTGCTACCATCCAGGGTCAGGGTAAACATGGTAGCACCATTAAGACGTGGTTACACGCTTCTCAGAAACTCCTGCTGAGAGTATCTGTCAATATTTCTGAGATGAGGTATTATGTACACTATTTACATTATTCGGACTATTGTCCTCATCTTTGTCGCCATATTTATTACAACGTTTCGGCCGTTGTACGCTGATGGGATCAGGTTGAGATCATAGACAAAGAACATCATTGGAAAATTTGTAAACTTAATCAATACATATGCTAAGCCACAAAAATCTCCTGAGCCGACCAAGCATAGAAATGAATATAATATGTGAAACAGTAATAAGGAGTGCCAGAGAAAAGCAATAACAACAACAAAATTTGCAATATGAGCTCTAGTAAAAACATATTATGATAACAGCCAAAATTGCAATATGAGCACTGTTAAAAATGGTTGCTGAAGACATTAGGCTTATGATACCCAGAAATTCACACACAGATGTTAGGACACATGGCACAGTGGATAAAGGCGTTAGTTAGATTCAGTGACAGGACCCAATGAGTGTGAGTTCAATACCTGGTTAAGGCGGTGGAGAACTCGGAGGGGAATTAACAGGAGATAACTGATAACTGACATCCATTAGACATGGCACGTGGAACTAGAACAGCCTACCCCAGCGAGCCAAATAAAGGGTTCAGTTCGACATTCCAGTCACCTGAAGAACGGCCGAAACGTTGTAATAATAAAGATCAGGACAATAGTCCGAATAATGTAAATAGTGTTCTGATAAGAGGCCTTGCTATATTTATCCTCTTACCTAGGGCGTACATGTAAATGATGGGAGATCATTTTAGTAGAGGTGAAAGGAAATAGAATACATTTCAACAAGGCGTTAATTTCCACGTGTTTTTATATAACTAGTAACTGATTAACAAAGAATATATAAAAGGATGCACGTGAAAGACAGAAAACATTAAAAGTTATCAAGGCTCTTTTCTGTTAATTCACCTCAAATAATGTAAAGTTACTTATCGCAAATATTAATTCACTCCAAGAAATTCTAAATTCTAAATTAAAGATTGTTTGTTTTTTGGTTCCTAATTTTCATCAACAACTTTCCTGATGTCATCAGTTCTCAATTGGATATCTATGCTATTATCTATATAAGGTAAAATGGCCGCTGATCTCAAAAATGACATTGTTAACTGGAGCAAGAAATGGCTTGTTAATTCTAAGGCCTCCAAAACGAAACAGCCCCATTTTTTAAATAGCTGTTCTACAGTGCCACCTAACGGTGTCTGGGCGAACCTGGCAACGTCAAGTGGGGGTAACCCAAACTGTTATTATTCTTACTCTTATTGTAGGCATGAACTTCATTTTCTTTATCTTTCTTAGCTCGCGGTAAAGGTCCTGTTTTTATTACCATTCTCATTATGAGCACGAATCCAACTTTTATATAGGACCATTGTTGTGGCACGTAATCCCCGTTTTACTAAAAGCAGTGGCAAACATTATTTGCACATGTAAATGATGGATGGTCATTGTTAGTAGAGGTGAAAGGAAACAGAATACATTTCAACAAAGCGGAAATTTCCATGTGTTTTTATATAACTATTAACTGATTAACAAAGAAAATACAAAAGAATACATATGAAATCATTAAACATTAAAAGTTATCAAGGATCTTTTCTACTAATTCACTACAAATAATGTAAAGTTACCTATTGCAAATATTAATTCACTCCAAGAAATTATAAATTTTAAATTTTGTTTGTTTTTTTTTTCATTAAATTTTTGATCCTCTTTTGAAATTATAAATTTTAAATCAAAGTTTGGGCACTCTTTTGACATTTTAAATTTGTTCAGATTGCCTCGCAACAACTCCAATCCTCAGAATGAAAAATTACGAAAAATCAGAGAGTTATTCACATTTTGTAAGTGCGGTTGATATTTTCAAGGTAAATTACAATTATTTTTTTTACAATTTAAAAAAAAAATCTGCTTTAGACTTGTTTATCGGAGTAAGCGCGAATGCAAACCCCACACTTAGAAATACCGCACCCGAGTCGCCCACAGTTCGGCTGATCGCAAAGGTCAACCCAACCCGAGTGCAATGGGAGGGATTCGGTCTGGGAGAATTTGGTGTGAATTTTATTAAATACTAGCAGTAGAACCCGGCGTTGCCCGGGAATGTAACAGTAAGAGATAGATCGACCATCATAAAGACTGAAAAATAAAATTGACAAAGATTATTGTTTAAGGTTGACGGACACGCATGTCTTAATTAGTTTTTTTTTTTTTTTTTTTAATTGGTCAAACCCAAACTCAAACAAAAACATTGTTTTCAATCGTTATGAGTCTATCGATTGAATAGAATTTTATTATAAACAATTGTCTTGTAAATGGAAATTTTAAAGCATTCTGAATGTAAAAATAAAAAAAAAAAGTGTGCAAGACAATAAGAAACACTACCTGCCAAAAAAAAAGTGAAGTTTTGTTGAAATCGGTTCAAAAAAATCAGGAAATCCGATCTCATATATAAACACAACACACACACACACACACACACACACACACACAACAACCTGTGTTTTATAATAAGTATAACTCGATATGAGTTGTCCCCCTTTCATTCACGCGATGCCTCTTAATCGTGTTTTCAAATTGATTTGTGCAAAAACAATTGTATTTTTCCAATTGTTGGCGTTGTCAGAACCACCGCAAGGTAATTTTACGTAGTCCTGTGAAGTTTTGTTGAAATCGGTTGAAAAATGTAGGAAATCCGATCCAATATATAAACGTACAGACACACACACACACACACACGCACACACACAACCTGGGTTTTATAATAAGTATGATTAGACTACTAGTGACTACTAGTGACCCGTTGGGTCACTGACTGTTCAGGTTACAAAATACTGAAGTTGATTTCAACGTTCCATTGAAATGAAAGTTAAATTTTATAATGATTCATTTAAATATTTCAATTCGTTCGTGTCACCATTGGTTTGGTTTACAAGTTCATATTTAACGTTTTACTGATCGTTTACAGCATTTAATAGAAATAAAACTTTCAGGATAAACTTGAACATTAAATCAGATTAACTTAAAAATATTTTTTAATATGTCAAAAATATTTTAAAATCATATTCACTTGAAAATATTTTTTAAAACATGTTAAAAAATATTTTTTTAAAATATTTAAAATATTGTTTGTTTAAAGAAATCTGAAATATAAATAATTACTCTACAAATAACAGAAAGAAACAGCAAAGCGGCATCTCTTTGTGGCTGTTAAAAATATTTTATTAAAATATTGTCTGTTTGGAGAAAGTTAAAATAAAAATACTGTAAAAAAAACGTATTTTTAAATCTTATATACTTAAAATATTTTTTAAATCAGAAGAACTTAAAAATATTTTTAAATGTACCAAAAAACATTTTACAATCATATTCACTTCAAAATGTGTTTTTAAATATGTTAAAAAATATTTTTTAAATATTTAAAATTTTGTTTGTTTAAAGAAAGCTGAAATATAAATAATTGCTCTACAATCACCTAGAAGAAACAGCAAAGCGGGATCTCTTTGTGACTGTCTTTAACGTAAAAATATTTTAATTAAAAATATTGTCTGTTTGAAGAAAATTAAAATAAAAATACTTAATGTATAAACAACTCATAAATCATTATGCACCGGATGGACGCACCATGCAAGCACACACGCAATCACAGACTTTTAGTATTATACAGATAAATTCTTTTTATTTTGGGGTGAATTAACAGAAAAGATCCGTTAACAATTGTGAATCATTTGTGAAATACATGTGTGTGTGTGTGTGTGTGTGTGTGTGTGTGTGTGTGTGTGTGTGTGTGTGTGAAACCGTCACTAAAGAGAAAGATATCCCCATGCTCAGGAACAAGGTCTCGGTTGGTGTTGTCACTACCGCTTGGAGAGAAAAGAGAAAGACAACAGGAACTGTCCCGCTTATATAGCTGTCTAACAGCGCCACCTAACGACGTGTTGGCAAAACCGAGTGGGAGTAACCCACACACTTATATATATGTCATGCATAGTATCCAAACCCGTTCAAAAATGTTAAAAATATTATCTATTTGAAACCGTTTTATCAGTTCAGTCATTAAAAATGGCTTCAGCATATCATTATAGACGTTTCATATACTATTACGATATACACTATTTACATTATTCGAACTATTGTCCTCATCTTTCTTGCCATATTTATCACAACGTTTCGGTCGTAGTAAAAAAAGAATTCAGGTAGTTGGAATGTCGAACTGAACCCTTAGACTGTTCTAGTTCCACGTGCCATGTCAGTTATCTCCTGTTAATTCCTCTCTCCAGCGAGCGAAATAAAGGGTTCAGTTTGACATTCCAACCGCCCGAAGAAGACCGGAGCGTACAACGGCTGAAACGTTGTGATAAATGATGAAACTTGACTAATGCATGGAATAATAATGCAACACAAAATGTACTTAGAACAAAATGTATTGGAACAAGAAAGTGTACACAATATTTACATATAGTCTTTTGTATATTCCTGGGAAGACCGTTCCTGGAGAATGTGTTGACTGAGTCGCAGTCGGGCCGAGTCTGGGGTTGAATTTCTTGATTCCTCCCTCTCTTCCCGGTACCAACCATATTTATATGGTCGGTACTCCACTATGCAAATTAGGTGGATCCTACCATAACAATAA